CCCCCCAGCTTGTCTTGGCCCCGCTCTTCTCCAGTCCCTCGCCGCATCTGCCCTCTGCTGGGCGCGCAGCTCCTTTTATATGCGCCAGGGCTCCGCCCCCAAGTCTTAGTTTAATCTGCAATCAGGTCTGGGGGAGCTCTTCTCCCCCTCCCCTCACAAAAGGGGCGGGACTTTATTTCTCCTGCTGCCTCCTGATTGGTGGATGGGCTCCACCAATCAATACAGCAGGGTCTCAAGCCTGGGACCCAACCCAAGCTCTGAAAGGTGAGCCTGCTGCACGGGGAAGACCTGATGAAGACAGACTGAGGGATCTGAATCTCTGCAGCCTCCGCAAGGGGAGGCTGAAAGGCGATCCTGTGGGTACCTCCAAACTCAGCAGGGGCGGGGGGGGCAGCAGGAAATAGGGGACACTCTGATTACTAGGGCACCCCTCGGGGTTACCAGAAATAACGGCCACAAACAGAAGGAGAATAGGTTTAGATTGGACATAAGGAAGAAATTCTTACGGTAAGGGTTGCCAAATGATGGAATGGGCTTGCAAGGGAGGTGGTCACGAGGAGATTAGACAGGCATCTGGCTGGGGTTACTTAATCCTAGCGCTCCTTCCTGCCTGGAGCAGGGGTTGGACCCGATGATCTACCAGGTCCCTTCCGACTCTAGAAATCTATGAATCTACCGGTGTCTGCTGCACTTTAAAGCTCACCAAATGGTGACGCAGCTGCCGCTCGGGTTTGCCTGAAGCAAAGAGCCGAGCAGCAACTCTCGTGTTGCAAAGAGCTCGGGAAGACGAGGCGCCGGAGGCAGTGCAGCACTGGCTTTAGTGCTACAGGTTCAGCCTGAGCAGCTCGGCCTGGGCAACGCACGCGTTTCTGGCCTCGGTCTCGTTTAGACAAAACTTCGTGTTCGTGTTTTGAAAAGAAATGCTTAAAAATAAAAAAACTCGTCCTTTGCGATGTAACCGTGCTGAGGTGCAATGCCCCAAGCAGCGCCAGTGCAGCACAGCCCCCCACTCCTCCCCTCCCCCGCCTGGCTCCTCACGCAGCCCCAAACCGACCCCCCACCCCCCGCTTGGCATCACACGCAGCCAATCAGCCGCCGCCGGCGCAGCGCCGCTCCTCCCATGGAGAGGGAGTGCACCCCTTCCCTGGCTGAGTTGGGGGCGTGGCATGTGACAGCGGGCGTGGCCTGGGCAAGGGGGCATGGCCTGGAGGCTCCGGCTGGGGGCGGGGCTTCCTCATGAATTGTCGAGCTCGTGGGAGGCTGTGGGCCCGTGATGGGTCCTGGTTTTGGGGTGGGATTTTTGTGGGGGGTAAAATTCCTTTTAAAAAATAAATTAATCCACAGCTGCTTTTTGGGAGTGGGGGGGGCCCACTCCCCCCCGCAGCGGGCACCGCTGCAGGATGGGTCTTCATGTTTTACAACCAGGGCGTCGGGGCACCAAACGCGTCTCAAAAATAAAGCCGGCACCGGGGCAGACACTGATTCCCTCCGGCCAAAAGTAAAGGCGGCACCTGGGCAGACACTGATTCCCTCCAGCCGGATTGGGGCTAAAACCCCTCTTTTTGTCCTCGTGTCAACATTTGCTGCCCCTCAGCTCATGTTTGGGGCTGTTTATTCTGCATTCAACATATTATTATTATTATTATTCTCTTCTCTCTCCTCCCGTCCCCCACCCTCCCGGAGGGTTTTCGGCTCTGCCCAGACAGCGGTCGTGGGGTCCTGGACGAGGCTGATGTCGGTTCCTTATTCCCGGTTCCTCAGGCAAAATCTTTCCTGGGCCGCCCCAGATGTCCTGTCGATGCCACCGGGGGATATCCCACAGACCCCGACCACAGTGCTGCCAGCCCAGAGCACATTTTGGCCGTGCCAGGCTGACAGCTGGCAGCCCCCCCCCGCCACTGCACTACATATAATGACTTGAATAAGGCACCGGTTTTGGCTGGGTTTATGGTTGGAAATCTTTTGGGGGCCACCCCATGCCACACCTCTGCCACCGGGGGAGTCTCCTGGATGTCCATGGCCAGAGACTTGCCCAGCCCAAAATGCGGTTTGGCCATGCCATGCTTCTTCCTGGCATATTCCCCCAACCACCCCAGCTGCTGGACTAAGTATATGGGTTTGCATTAGGAACTGGTTTCTGGGCTGGGATTAGAGGTGGAAATGCTTCTGGGCTGGCCCGCACCCTGACTCCGTGGCACTGGGGGACTCTCCTGCAGAGACAGACAGCAGTACGGTGGGTGCTGCGGGGGTGGCAGAGGGTCCTGGCCTCTCTTGCTGCTGCAGACACTTCCGGGTCTCCCAGGGGGTGCAGTCGTGTGGTCACACCCGTGCACGTCCATGGCGTAGCTCACAGGCTGGTGGCACCGGTTCGCTGCTGCCCCGATGCCTGGGTCTCCCGAATCCTGGCAGAACTGAGATCAGATCACACCAGGGTAGCACGCACCGGGGAAAGCCAGGGGCAACGTCCTCGCCTGCACGACTGCGCACAGGCTGTGCCCCTGGTCTGCTCGTTCCCAGTGTATTTCCCCTCCCACCTTCCAAAATGTGCAAGGCCTAAAAGGAGCCGTGCACTGCGCAGCCCAACACAGAGGGAGCAGGGTGGTACAGCCGGTGCTTTGTACCCAGCTGGCCCAGATGGATGTCATTGCACTTGTATTTTCTGGGCAGGTTATGACAAATGGCTACATCTGTCTAAAGAAGCACAGATGCACATAAATAACCATCAACTAATATATAACACAAGAAAGCTCATGATGATACAATATAATATGAAATAAAACACTATAATATCACTTAACCTAACCTAACACAATATATAGGGGGAGAGGAGAGGCGGGGGGTGGGGAGGGCTGGAGAGGAAAGGGGCAGAGCAGGGGGAGTAGCTTTCAGGTATACATTTTCTGCCCTATACCTTGCGCCCCCACATCCAGTCCTCCGGGCTCAATGTCCTGCAGACCAAGACCTGAAAGACAAAAAAGAAATAGAGAAACTCTTAGCAACTTCCCAGGTGGCAGAGGAGGGAGAAAAACCAAAGAGTGATGACTAGGGCTGAGCAGAGACCACCATGCAGACGCGTGACGTACCACTCACCCATGCTGACAAACATCAGCAGAGTCACAAGAGTCAGAAACTTTTGAGCAGGGAAACAGGGTGGGCCCC